ATAAGAAACTCAAAAATTATATTTAGTAGAATAAAAGTGATAGATATATACTGACCCAAAAATGTATCACCTCCAATAAAAGAAAAAAAAAACTTTTTGGGTTGATTTCTATAAAACTCCAATTAAAGATCGATCCAATTAGTTTATTAGTAAAACAATCTTTAACAAAAAATATTTCATCATAACAACTTTTTATTATTTTTAAGGTTATAATCAACTCATGTTTCTTGGCGAACGAAAATGAAAACTCAAATATATGTAAAACAAAAAGAAAATACAAATCATATCGTATAACATAGAGGTTGACATAAGAACAAACGATTTCACCTGAACATGAAGATCGATATAGGCCTTGTCTATCAAAGCAGCTCCTCAAAAGTTCATATACTTAATTTGCTTTCCTTTTCTCTCTGTAAATGCTCATATTAATTGTGAAGTAGATGTATGTATATATATGTTCAACATACATTAGATGTTGTACCATGTCGGCTATATACTAGGTCATCATCTTGAATGGATACGAGAAGACAATTCTAATTTGGATATCGATGTAGATGTGGATGTGTAAGTAAATCTATTTATGGCAACAATAAAACTTAACGTATGATGTATAAAGTAGGTTTGCCTATGCAACATGTTTGAATTTTTTGTGTACGTGTTGGTGTTCATCGTGTTCCAGATGATCATCTGTTTTCAAATCACATTCTTGACCCTAATGTTTGACCAAAAGTTAGAAAATGCCCACATATTTTTCTATATATGTTCCATTTAGTTTCTACGGTTTTTTTACACGTATTAAGTCACTGTTCTTACAGTATTCGTTCCACTTGTTTATATGATTTGGCATATTATTAAAAGATCAAACGTACTTATATAATGAACACCTATGTTACTCAACTTTTTATCCTTTGTATTACATTATTATTTGCATTTGTATTTAAAATATTTTTATTTGGGTAGTCAAATATGTTGATTTGACCTCTATTCGATGACGATGACCCTTTAATATTTTTTATGGATATTTCTAAGTACGTAAAATACAAATCATATCATTACCTTACGTTGCCAATATATATATATATATATATATATATATATATATATATATATATATATATATATATATATATATATATATATATATATATATATATATATATATATACTAGCCGTCTACCCGCGCAAAGCGGCGAGGCACGTGAGTTCTTTCGGTGATATGTTTCCATTACAAAATTGTTATGTTAAAAAAAAGTACATGTTGAAGACAATATAATCAAACTATGGTGTTATTTGTTACATCATGCATCAAATAACCAATAAAAAGCAACCAGTCAAGACGACACAAAATATTAATCGTGCAATACTTCTTTATACACCACATTTGCTGTATAAACCCCATCACCTTTTGAATTTTCGTTAGGCTTTACTAATACTTTTGTATTGCAACGTGAAACCCCTCTGGACAATGCAACATAAAGTTGTCCATGCGAGAATACTGGTTCTGGAAGATAGATACCTACATATGGAATTGTTTGTCCCTGAGCTTTATTGATTGTCATTGCAAAGCACAATCGAATAGGAAACTGTTTCCTCATTAGAGGATCGATGGTTGCTACTAATTGCTTGTAACTGGTATTGGTTTCATATCGATGGATGTGGATTCGCATATGAAATCAATTGTGTTCGCATCTATGAAATCAGTTCGCATATGACATCAATTGAGTTCGTATTTGGTTTTGTGGGTCAAAACAGTTCGCATAAGAAGTTCACGATTTGTTTGAGGTTAATTGATTTTGATTTCGCAAGCTTGGAGTCGGAGATCTGGATTGTGTTCGCATCTATAGAATGCGAGGAGAATTTAATGGTGATATTCAGTTCTCATTTGGTGACACAAGTACGTGGTTGATGATTTTTGGTTGGTTCGCATTTGAAATTAGTGGGTTTCGCATTTGGCTTCGTATCTGGGTTTCTCAAACAACTGAAATGCGAATATGAGACAATTGATTAATTTCTCAGTTAATGCGATGAAATGCGAATGAACTCAAAGACGGATGGATGCAAGATGCGAAGAATTTGAATGAAAATGCGAAGTTTTTAATGTATAAATGCGAATTGGGGAAGAAAGCTTAGAGTTTCGCATTTGACACCTGATCTTTTCAAGAAATAATATAAGTGGTCCAACTTCGCAAAATGGGGTCATAAAAAGACAAAAGTGCAGAATTTTCATTTCGCATCCCTGTAGTCTTCGCAAAATGGAAAATTTTACCCAGTTTCGCATTTGGGGTAAATTTTTTTGAGAAATTGGAATATTTTCAAACTTTTTTTCTTAAAAAAAACACATTGTCTTCGTCTAAGAGAGGGAGAAAAACGATTAGGGTTTATAAGGGAAATACTTCATGGCAGTGGGATTTATAGCAGGGTTTATAAGGTGGAGAGAACAAACACACGTCTGCTATGAGATATTTTAATCAGCTGCAAATGCAACATTTAAAGGATATTTGTTGAAGCGTATTAGGATGAAAAGGTTTTAAATTTTGAATGACCATGAAATTAGGATTTTGCTGAGAAATATAAGGAATCAAAACAAATTTAAAATTTAATATTATTTTATTAATGGTTGTTTGTAATATTAGCTTAATCGTTTGTACGTCTTAAAAAAATAATATTATTATATTCAATCTATTTATAGAAATAGTTAGATTTCTTTTATAAGTAGTAAAGATATATATACACTACTAGAAAAAAAGGTGTTTTCCTACGGATAATAGCTACGGAAAATTTCCGTAGCTAATTAGCTACGGAATGGCTACGGATTAGCTACAGAATTGGACGCCCTAATTTAGTAACGGAATAGCTACGGCATAACTACGGATTCAATTCTGTAGGTATTCCGTAGCTAATTAGCTACGTGATAGCTACGACATCACTACGGATGCTACTCCGTAGCCATTCTGTAGCTAATTAGCTTCGGAATAGCTACGAAATAGTTACGGATGTTAACCTGTAGCTATTCCGTAGCTACTTAGCTACAAAATGGCTACGGAATAGCTACGGATATAATATTAAACCATTAAATGAATAAAGGATCTCGAAGGTGCAAACGACTGTATCAACACTATTAATGACTATAAGTTGTTGAAAATAAAGATAATCGTGTATAATAGAGGTGGGAAAAAAACGAAGAGAAAAAAACGATGTTTAATGCCCGGAAAATCAAAAATAATAAAATCCGTAGCAACTCCGTAGCTAATTAGCTACGGATTAGCTACGGATTTTTTTTATTTTCTATTTTTCGGGCACCAAACGTCGTTTTTTTTGCTTCGTTTTTTTTACACTTCTACTATACATCATTATCTATACTTTCACCAACTTATAGATATTAATAGCATTCATAAAGTCGTGTGGACCTTTGTGATCAAGTATTCGTTTCATAGTTTTAACAATGTAATTACTATACTTTTCACCAAATTGTGATGAATTTATTTTTGTATATGTATATTTACATACATGAAAGAGTTGTGGTATATGTGTACGTGTATGTGTGTGTGTATACGTGTTTGTGCGTATTTATATGTGAACGTAGATCATAAGCGTGTTAAACCATTAAACGAGTAATGGATCTCATATGTGCACACAACTTTATGAATGATATTAATAGCTATAAGTTGGTGAAAATAGGGATAATCATGTATAATAGAGGTGTGAAAAAAACGAAGCGGAAAAAACGACGTTTGGTGCCCGAAAAACTGAAAATAAGAATTATCCGTAGCTAATCCGTAGCGAATTACTGAAAATAAGAATTATCCGTAGCTAATCCGTAGCGAATAATTCGCTACGGATTAGCTACGGATAATTCTTATTTTCAGTTTTTCGGGCACCAAACGTCGTTTTTTCCGCTTCGTTTTTTTCACACCTCTATTATACATGATTATATCTAGTTTCACCAACTTTTAGCTATTAATATCATTCATAAAGTCTTGCGCACCTTCGGGATCAAGTACTCGTTTAATAAGTACTGGTTTAATGGTTTAACAATATAATGACTATATTTTTCACCAACTTGTGATGGATTTATGTTGTAGACATGAATGAGTTGTGGTATATATGTATGTGTATATGTGTATGTATACGTTTTTGTGAGTATTTATATGTGAACGTAGATGATAAGCATTAGAGTTTAAAACCATTAAACGTGTAATGGATCCCGTATGGGCACACGACTTTATGAATGACATTAATAGCTAAAAGTTTTAGAAAATTTAGATAATCATGTATAATAGAGGTGTGAAAAAAACGAAGCGGAAAAAACGACTTTTGGTGCCCGAAATGTCGAAAATAAGAATTATCCGTAGCTAATTAGCTACGGACTAGCTACGGAATTCTAACGGAAATAATAATAATAATAATAATAGAAATAATAATAATAATAATAATAATAATAATAATAATAATAAGATGTTTAAATAGAATAGTCAAGCATGTTAGTATGGATGTGGCATGCCCGGCCGGTTGGTAAGTTTGTGGTATTGTACGTAGGCAACCTGAGTTCGAATCCCACCCACGTTTTTTTTACAGGCCGTAGCTAATCGGTAGCTAAACCGTCGCTAAACGTGTCTGTAGCTAAGCCGTAGCAGATTCCGAACCTGTGCCGTAGCAAATCGGTAGCTATTTTTTTTAATTAAAATCCATTTTATTTCCTTGTTATATTCATCCCACGACAATAATAATAATAATAATAAAAATAATAAAAATAATAATAATAATAATAATAATAATAATAATAATAATAATAATAAGATGTTTAAATAGAATAGTCATGCATGTTGGTATGGATGTGGCATGCCCGGCCGGTTGGTAAGTTTGTGGCATTGTATGTATGCAACCCGAGTTCGAATCCCACCCACGTTTTTTTTTGCAGGCCGTAGCTAATCGGTAGCTAAACCGTCGCTAAACCGGTCCGTAGCTAATCCGTAGCAAATTCCGAAGCTGGGCCGTAGCAAATGGGTTATACGCCTCAGTTTCCAAATACAGGTGCTGAGTTGCCGACCCCACAAACGGTTTTGAGGCCGGGTGGTCGTGATGGATTTGAGGAGTACTATTTTGAGGGTGCAGATGCACAGACAAACTTTCGGTCGCCACAGACCCCGCACACGCCACGGCCACCGAACACGCCACCGACGCCGCATGGCTCCACCTCTAGAGGTGTTACGGGCGGCCACGACTCGAATGCGAGTGATTTTCAGGAGTCTTCATTGCCCCTCATCAGCCGAAAAGGGAGAAAGTTAGTGTTTTCATATTTTAAAATTTTAATTTTTGATGTTAAAATTCTACTTATATAGTTCTTTTCAATGTAGGTTTGGGTCTAGGAAAATCCACAGCACGTGTATTAGTCTCTATTGGGAGAATATGGATCATCCGTGGCCCCGATTTAGTGATATTCCCAATGAGGCCCTTTTGCAGATGTTTTCGCGTTTCAAGGCAATATATTAAATATAAATTATTGTATCTTATACTCATTTGTTTTTACTTTGTATTTTTATATTTACTTTTTATTTTTTTACAGACCATGTACAGGTGGAATTCACTAGAGAATAGTAACATATTTGATGCCTTCAAGTGTGTCCTCAAGGATAGATACATGGATCGGATGAAACGTATCAGGATTAAATCTGGGGAAATGGCACGAAATGATGGGAAACCCGTCCCCTTAGGTCATTGTACCTACTACGAAGGGATGCATGACTACCGCCCTGGGCGCGTACCGGAGTATGTGTGGCGACGTTTGTGTGATGTAATGGATATGATACTTTATTATCTATTTTGTTGAATTTTAATCTCTTATTGTATTAGTATCCTTATATTTTTTTTCTTTTCACAGCATTGGTCGACAGATAAGTGGAGAAAGAATTCAAAAATTGCTCAGCAGAACCGCAAAGTCGCAGATGCTAATGGGTCGACAGCTAGGCACACCGCGGGTAGTATAGGATTTGACGAGCACCGTAACAACAACAACAACAAATGGAAATGGAAATGGTTATGAGGATGATGAATATGTCTGGAAATCAACCCCGTGCTCCCCTTGATAATCCACCTGAGGACAATTGATAAGTATTTTGGAACAATTTAGTTTGTAAACATTTGATATTGTTTGTTTTGTTTAGTACTTACTTTTGTAAGATATTTTGGATAATGGATTGGAATGTGTCAAACTTGGTATGACGGACGTTTTTTTGGTATATTTTATATGGTATTTGGGACAAATGTGAATTTAATGTGGTATTTGACAAAAAAATTGGAAAATTTTAAATTATTTTTTTTTTTAAATAAAACGAAGTTAGCTACGGAATCGCTACGGATTTCCGTAGCTATTTACTTGCGTAGCGATTCCGTAGCTGTTTTGTTCCGTAGCTATTTTGTTCGGTAGCTATTCCGTAGCTATTTGTAGCCGTAGCTATTCCGTAACTATTTTCTTCCGTAGCTATTCCGTAGCTATATAGTGCCGTAACTATTCCGTAGGAAATCCGTAGCTATTCCGTAGCTATAGTAGCTACGGAATATTCCGTAGCTATTCCGTAACGATTTTGTAGCTAATCCGTAGCTATAATTTAGCCACGGGCCATTATGCTACAATCAATTTTCCGTAGCAATTCCGTAGCTATCCGCTTATAGCTACGGAATAGCTACGGATTGTACCGTAGCTATTGCACCAATTTTCTAGTAGTGATATATATATATATATATATATATATATATATATATATATATATATATATATATATATATATATATATATATATATATATATATATATATATATATATATATATATATATATATATATATATATATATTATTTTTATATTGCATGGATTCCCTTCCTTTATGCAACATTGCAACGTATCATAATTAACGATGACTTTATTGAACCTGGTCAAGACAAGATGAAAATGATTGAATTAAATTTAAAGAAACGGAAATAGGAAAATAGAAGTAGCGAACCCAACTTGAAAAATTCATAGACGCATGGCAAAGGTTGTATAATTTTTATTTGCGAGCAAAATTTATATATCTATAAATTTTATTTTTATTTTTATTTAAAGAACGTCTTAATTTGTTTTCTTTTCAAATAATAATTAACACTGATATATATTTTCAAAATCTGTAAATTTTGTTTTGTGATCAAATAATTTTTATACATACTATTATTTTAAGTAAAATAAAAATATTCTCAAATAAAAACTAATATATATATATATATATATATATATATATATATATATATATATATATATATATATATATATATATAATATATATATATATAGAGTTAGGTTCATGTGACACGACCTAATTTTGTAAGACCGTGAGACGTATTTTTTTTATGTTTTTAATTTTTTTTAGTTAATTCAAGTTCCGAAAATACTATTTAAAAAAAGAATTTTTGAATTTTTTCATTTATTTTGCATTTTAAAATTATTTTTTAGAATATATCAGTGTAATATTCTATTAGAATATTTCACGTATTTTTCAAACAAAGTGGAATTTATTTTTATTTATTTTTTATTTTTTTAGTTAATTCAAGTTCCAAATATAATATTTAAAAATAAGAATTTTTGGATTTTTTCTATTTATTCTGCATTTTAAAATTATTTTTTAGAATATATCAGTGTAATATTCCAATTAGAATATTTCACTTATTTACAAAAAAAAAAAAAACGGATTTTTTTATTTACTTTTTAATTTTTTTTATTCTTTTTTAATTTTTTTTAGTTAATTCAAGTTCCGAAAATAATATTTAAAAAAAGAACTTTTGGATTTTTCCATTTATTTTGCATTTTAAAATTACTTTTAGATTTGGTCTCACGGTCTCACAAAATTAGAATGGTCTCAAATGAACCTAAAAAGGGTTTTTTTCGAAGTTTTAGCCGGTATTCTGTGCTTTTCTGCAATTAAACTTTATTTTGGGACTTTTTCATAAATTGGATTAAAATTTTAGGATTTTTCTATAATTTTTTTTATATATATGGAAATCTCCAGAAAAATCCTAAAATTTTAATCCAATTTATGAAAAAGTCCCAAAATAAAGTTTATTTACAGAAAAGCACAAAATACCGGTTAAAACTTCGAAAAAACCCTTTTCACCCGGTTTCGCAGATTTTGCCAGTATTCTGTCCTTTTTTGTTAGTTTGCTCAAAATTTTGGGACTTTTCCAAAAATTACATAATAACCAAAATATTAGGATTTTTTTTTTGAAAATTACCATGAAATTAATGGATATTATTATTGACAAATCATTTATAAACATAAAAAATATTTTTATTATAAAAAAGGAAATACATTTATTGCTAATTTCTAGGAATAAATTGGTGATCTAAAAACTCTATTGCTTCCTGACCACTCAAATTCTCTACGTTCTTCCTATGCATTGTTGTGGGTATGATGGTGGGATAAACTTAGTTAGCATTCTTCTAATCTTGGTGTTCCTCTTATGTTGTTTAACCCAACTACCAACCAACATTCATACTTTACATATTAACAACCATCGGCTAACACACATCTATAAAATATGAAAAGTGAATCGTGAATTATAATCTATATGAAAACAAGTGAAGGCTGATTAGCTATTTGAATTGTTAGTTAAAGTTTATTTTTCACCCCCGATAGATGTGTGTAATTTTCTAGTTGTTACCGGGTAATGTTTAGAGGTTAGGTGGTAGTTAGGTTAAAGAACATAATGAAAGATCTATATGTTCGTGTAATGATATTTTCTAATAACACATAATCATATAGCATCATACCTAATAGCAAGTAGACACTTATTGATTGTGTATTAATAAATATTATTAATTCTTGTATTGGTCACGCCTAACAAAGTACTTCACTATGACACCCACAACGATACATAGGAAGAACATAGAGACTTTGAAGTGGTAAACAAATAATAGAGAAGTACATAGTCGACCATTTTATTCCTAGAAATTAGCAACAAATGTATTTCCTTTGTTTATAATAAAAAAAATATTTTTATAAATGATTTATTAATAATAATATCCATTAATTCCATAGTAATTTTGAAAAAAGTCCCCAAATTTTGGTTATCGGGTAATTTTCAGAAAAATCCTAATATTTTGAGCAAACTAACGAAATAGGACATAATACCGGGTAAATCTTCGAAACCGGCCAAAAAGGGTTTTTTCGAAGTTTTAGCCGGTATTCTATGTTTTTTTGTAAACAAAAATTAGTTCGGGACTTTTTCATAAATTAGACTAAAATTTTAGGATTTTTCTGGAGATTTCTCTCTCTCTTTCTCTCTCTCTCTCTCTCTCTCTATATATATATATATATATATATATATATATATATATATATATATATATATATATATATATATATATATATATATATATATATATATATATATATATAAGGTGGCTAGGTTATAATGTGGATGTACAACTATTGTGTGGACGTGTGAATAATACTATTTTATGAAAATTACTAAGAGAATATGTTGTTTAGTAATGTGAATACGTTCAATCTCACAGAATTATTGGTATTTTAATGGATTCTCACAAATTCTAATTCATTTTTGTTCTCCTTCATCGTTTTTTTATTTATTTTAATTTTTACAGAATACGACTCAATAAACATCCTGATAACATTCTTACAGAATAAGACTAATTAAAAAAAAAGTATTATCCACACGTCCACACAATAGATGTCAATCCACATTTGAACCTAACTCTCTCTCTCTCTCTCTCTCTCTCTCTATATATATATATATATATATATATATATATATATATATATATATATATATATATATATGTAGAATCAAATGAGAACACCTAAAATGTTGACAACGCGAGAAAATATCTAAACTATCTAAATATTCCAATCTAAGGTTATTATTAGATGGACCATTTATGTAAATTATGAAATTTATTGGTATTAAAGTGTAACATTGAAATAGTGAAAGGGGTATAATACTAATTGATTGTTTATTTAATTCTTATAACTTCTCAATATTTCCTTTCAATTTGGCCTCTCTCTCTCTCTCTCTCTCTCTCTCTCTCAGCCGCTCCGAATAAGACCCTTCCACCGTCACTGTCAACCTTTCTGTCAGTGTCATTATCTCCACAAAAATCAGAAAGTTATGTCACCATCATCGACGATGTCGGAATCATTTTAGGTAAGATTTAATTCGGAGTGAGATAGAGAAAGGAGATTGTGAAGCAGCAATGTTTGAGGCATATTGTGGCGGTACTCGGGTGGCCCAACGAGCCGATGCCAACCAAAGTGGTCGAAAGTTGTGATTAACACTCTTGTTCGTTCTACTCTTCTTCTAGTTCATGTTTCGATTTTTCTGATGCTATTTTCTTAACTTTTGATATTATTTTCACAATTTACTGTTATTAAAATTATAAGTGATTCATAACTAATTAGTCTCCTCTTATCGGTGTATGAGTGATGTCTAGTGGGTCTAAGCTGGTGAATATGATGGCTTGATGAAGACCCATAAATGGTGATGGTGATATGATGTTTGGCATAAAAGATAAACAAATCAAGAGGCCCCTTGGATTTTGAGGCTGAAATAGATGCATATAAAGGTACAATAACAATATATTCCTGCTTTGAGTTTCTTATAATGCTTTTTAAATTGGTTTTCTTTATTTGCTTCTAAAAACAAGGTGATAAAGATATCATTTATTGTTTTGGTTTTGTTAATATAGAGTAAACACATTACTGTTTTGGTTTGTAATTGATCATCTTCACGTAGATCTGGAATCAGATTCACAGGAAAGGTTGTGAACGGAAGCTATTTGATGAATTTTGTGAGAGATATATGGTTCATTGAACTTAATGATATATGTGTATTTGAATATGGGTTTTTCTAAAGTTCATTTGGAATTGTTTGAGAAGATGAAATGTGAGGAATTTGAGCTAGAGGAGAATGAAAAACTATATTATATTTTGGTGTATTCATCTATGACAGAATGTGTATTTAATTATAAATAACAGTGTATTCATGTGTAATGA